AGGAAGGAACTGAAGCAGAAACCATGGAGGAGTGCTGCTTTCTGCTGCTCACTGGCTTGGCCCCACAGCTTGTCCAGCCTGCTCTCCTACAACCCATGGCAACCTGCCTAGGGCTCACACCATGCAGAGTGGCATGGGCTATCATTCCCACATCAGCATTAATCAAGAAAATGACCCCCTAGACTTGGCCAGACTGATGGAAGTCTTTTCTCAATTGAAGTTCTTGTTTTCTAGATGATTCGACCAGAAGAAACCAACGCATTCACCCTAATCCTTTTCTCTTTACTCCTGTGCCTTTTAAGATTAGCACCGGAATGTTACTAAAGCGTATTGAATTAAATAATTCAAGAGTAGAATTCATTTCCTTCCTGTGCACTTGCATTGGTTCATGCTACGGTTGTGCTCACTCTGTTTTCTATTTGTTTTGCAGAAACCACATCCAACTGGGGACACATGTTGAATTAGCCTTCAAACACAATCGCCAGGCCTTCCTCACATAAACATTAATCTGACTTCACTATTCTAAGCATGTTCAATTAATATTTTTAGCCCACAGTAAAAGAAAATATGTAATACACTGGTAAACCTTAGAATATTAGACCCATTTAGAATAATGTTGATTATGTAAATTTTTAACAATCTTAATTTTTGTATCTGTAAAGGAATGCTTGCTGCCAACCTAAACCTGCTTTTCCCTGCCTGGGTACATGCCCAGATTATTTTCCCATCCAGTGACCTTTGTAGTTTGTTGAAACTGGGAAAATTATGTCTTTAGCCAACCATATATAAGTGGGAGGTAAACACCTTTGAAAAGTATTCTACACCATTCCTCTTGCTGCAAAAACTCTTGTTACTTAAAAACAAAGCAAAACTAACCGTGTTTGTGCTTTTTTTTGTTTATTTGTTTTTGTTTTTGTTTTTCAAGACAGGGTTTCTCTGTATTGTTTTAGAGGCTGTCCTGGAACTAGCTCTGTAGACCAGGCTGGCCTCGAACTCACAGAAATACACCTGCCTCCGCCTCCCAAGTGCTGACTCTAGTGAGATCTCCAGAAATCTACAAGGATAACACCAACCGGCAAACTAAGCAATAGTGGAGAGAATACATTAATTGCTCCTCCTTGATGGTAAGGTTGATGACTACCTTATATGCCATCCTAGAACCTTCATCCAGGGATTGATGGAAGCAGAGACAGATACCCACAGTTGAACACTGAACTGAACTCCTGGAACTTAGTGACAGAGATAGAGGAGTGATGAGCAAAGGTGTCAAGACCATGCTGGTGAAATCCACAAAGACAGCTGACTGGACAAGGGGGACCTCTTGAATCCCAGACTGATGCCTGAGAGGCCAACAGGGGACTGATCCAGACTCCATGAATATAGTGCCAGGAGGAGGCCACAGAAATCTCTGGGGCCTTGGGTATTAGATCAGTGTTTACCATGGTTTATGATTGAGCTTTGGGAGCCCATTCCACATGGAGGGATGCTCTCTCAGCCTGGACACATGGGGAAGGGCCTAGGTCCTGCCCAGGATGAAATGACAGACTTTAGAGATTCCCCCCAAGGAGGGTCTCACCTTCCCTGGGAAATGATGTGGGGATTGGGTGGGGGGCTGGGGGCTGGTGGAGGGACAAGGGAGGAGGGGTGGGAGAGGGATCTGGGATTGACATGTGAAACATTCACGTTTCTAATTTAAATAAAAACATTTTAAAAAACTAACCGTGTTTATTTCTTACAGTTCTGGAAGGTGAGAAGTGATATCTCAGTTAGGGTACTGGAGGGGTGCTGCCTGGTTCTAAGATGACACTGCACTCCTGGACCCTCCAGAGGAAACAGATGCTGTGTCTACCACATAGCAGAAGACAGAGGGACAAGATTGGATAAGTCATCACCATGTGGAAAACGGCAGAAGGCAAGGAGGGCTGAATGTTAAGGCATCCCATGAAGAAGAGGCAGAAAGGAACAATTCCCCCTCCATCAACCCCTTTCATAGAGACCCTAGTCCCATTGACAAGGACTCTGCCTTCATGATGAGTCTGCCCTGTTCTTTAATGCTATCTCATGATGAGTCTACTCTTAAAGCCCTGTTGTTAATGCTGTCAGTGAGGGAATGAAGTAGATGACAGCGGTGGACAATGCATTAAGAACAGAGCACGGAGCCCTAAGGAAACAAGGAGCTTGTTTTCACCCTCTCTCCACACTCCGGTCTTTCGCATAAGTACGCTACTTAACCGCCTTTTCCCTGGATACTGACCCTGGAGCTATTTGATCAGGATATAGGCCAATTAATACTGCTAAACCGATCAATGAATTTTATTTATTACAACAGTTTAACTCCCATTCACTAACGGATATTCGTTCTGTTTATGATGGATATACCTTAAATCGTATCTCCGCTCATGTGTGAATTTATCTTTATATGCCCCCTCCCTTCCTTTCTTCTTCTCTCATCATGACCACACCTCTTATGCTCAGAACAAGGATGTGAAACACAGTATCCATTAGTAGAATTAGACCACATGCTCACAAGGACAGGGATCATGTATAATTTCTCTGTGTGCTTGCAGTGTCACGGTGTCTGAAACAAAGAAAGTATTCAATACGTACCTAGGAATGAATGAGTGCAAAAGCCTCACAGATGCTTTTAAGTTTGAACCTGTAAGAGAAAGAACTCGAGAGACAGGAGCTTGAAATCCCTAAATTTCCATTAGTGCCAAATAAAAACTGAGTTTGTGACTGTGATTTATAGGAGCAGAGAGGTTGGTAACCTGGAGGCTGTCTGGCATCCTAAGATCTGTGAATTCTTTCACAATCCTATTTTTGCTTTGACAGTCTAGAACTAGTCAGGGTGTCATAATTATCTATGGGCGAGTCAATGCTCCGTATTGCAATGAACAGCCTCTGAGAGTCGGAGCATGTTTTTTTTAAACTCTGCATTCTCTTAAGCTCAAGTAAGATGGAACTTACTGTCTCCTTATATTTCTTACTTTGGGTTCAATTTATTTAAGACCATTCATGACAGCCAGATGGTCCACACTAGTTTCAGACAATTTATCACAGAGCTCAGCTGTTGCACTAAATCTATTTCTTAAAGGAGAAAAGGCATTCATAATTTTAGCCAGAAAAGAAAAGGGATCCAGACCCACACTGTTGCCTAGATGCCAGCTCACAGATCCCTAAGGCGTCACAGTCTTTGTACGTGTTTGCGTGGCTCAGATGCCACTTGGAATTCTGCACGTGTTCAAAGCCCTCACTGAATTTTCTCTCCATCACTGGTAGGATGAAGCAGGCTGGGAAAGGATGTACCCTCCTGATGCCCCCTCGTGCTGAGGCCTTGTGTGTCACCTTCTCAGGTGTATATTATATGTTCTACATCGCATCGGCCCAAGAATGAAGCTAAGCTCTTTCTCAGCTCCCGCTAGAAACTCATTCAGATCCCTGACGGCTGGGGGAAGCTTCTACTACAGAAGTCTAAACAATCTCAAAGCTGCCCTGGTAGCCTTAGTGCTATGTTCTGTTTGTTATACTCCTCATCGGTCACTTTACCCCTTAGGCTTCAGCTCTATGTGTTCCCACTGATGGTTCCCTCTTACATCTTCCCTCCCTCCCCTCTCAGTGTCTGCCTTATTTCCAAATTTGTTGCTTAGGCTAATGTAGACCTAGTAAGGGATCACAGAGATAGTTTTCTAAACAATGGTACTCCTTATTTTAAGCGTGACTATGGCACTGTTAGTAAGACAATAAAGTTTTAATCCTGCTTAGCAAATATATACTGAGAGAAGGAACACAAAACACAGAAGTCAAGATTGCTGCTTTCAGGAGCTTAGTCATTTTGCTCAGCAATATGCCCAAACTCTGTGGTACAGAAGTCAACACTGCCTGTAGGCTCGCTCACTATTAGTCCAAAGCTAACACAGTGAAGTGCTATAGTTAGGAACTTAAATGTCCCCCAAAGGCCAGCTTGTATCCAAAGTGTCTCCTGAAGTCTATGGTTCTCTAGGTCATGGCAGAACTTTTAGGAGGCAAGGCCTAGTGAGAAGAATGGAGGTAACTATGGGTCTACCCTGAGGTGATATGGGGGGCCAGCAGTCCTTTGTTTTCTCTCTGTTTCCCGACAGCCATGAGGCAAACAAATCTCCCTCACCACACACTGGGTCAGGATTCACCATGTCAGCATCGGTTCAAAGCGCAGAGCCAAGCGATCCTAGACCCAAACCTCTGAAATCAAGAGCCCAAATAAACGTTGCCTTAGAAACTGTCACAGAGACAGAAAGTGGATTACCACGTGGAATGAAAGCACAGCAGCCCTACTGACTACCACGTCCAATTCCCTCTGCCCTCTTCCCCTCAAATCTCAGCTTGGAAACAGCTCGCCTTTCTTCTTGCCTGGTTCTACCTGCTCTGTTTAAAATCTGACAGACGCTGAGCAGTGCTGGTGTACACGCCTTTAATCCCAACACTGGAGAGGCAGACACAGGCAGATCTCGTGAGTGAGGCCAGGCTGATCTACACAGAAAGTTCCAGGATAGCCAGGGCTACACAGAAAAACCCTGTCTCAAAAAAAAAAAAGAAAAAGAAAGGGGGGGGAGGAGGGAGGGAGGAAAGAAGGAAGGAAGGAAGGAAGACAGACAGACAGACAGACAGACAGACAGACAGAAAGAAAGAAAGAAAGAAAGAAAGAAAGAAAGAAAGAAAGAAAGAAAGAAAGAAAGAAAGAGGAAGGAAGGAAGAAAGGAAGGAAGAAAGAAAAAGAAGTCTGATGGCTTCACCTATACTCCTAAGAATGGGACTGTCATATCCTAGCCCCTCTAACATTAGGATTGTAGTGGCTCACATGTATCAGGGTTAGCATATTTTTGTTTCATAATGTTAAATCCATTATATGTTTGAACATGTAAACACAAACATTTAAAAAGCATTTTGCCACATACAGGCACTGTTTATAGAATTTCACAGTGTATCTGTCACTATAATTCTTGTTTCCAGAGATAAAGAAAGCAAACATTCTTTTATCTTTATTGGTCATTTCAATTCACTGACAATGAGATGTCTTTGGCAAAGGTGAAGTAAAACGTTGAGACCCTGAGGAAAAAAAAAATCAAGAAAAACTTGCAGTAGATACATTATTTAGTAAACCACAGGCAGAAATGATAAAATGCCCAATATTCAGTGTTCAATTAGAAATGGACATTTCCTAAACAGCATGTGTAGACATCCTGAGATGGAATTACCAACACTACTAAGACTACATGTAATATGATCATCATCTCAATGTTCGTCTAAACTGTGTTGTGCACATTTTAACCTTAAAGCTGGTCGCTTCAAATTGTGTTAATACGTATATCAATATATCTATGTATCTCCTTTAAAAGTTCATAGACACACACTCCAGATGTGCTGGCTTCATCTTCCAGGCACCTGGTTGTGACAGATAGCCGAGTGTGTGGCCTCATGTAGGAAGAACATCTGGGCATCTGACTGCAGTTTTCCCTATTCATCCAAAAGTTTTGGCAGCTAGCTATGGACAGATTGAAAAATCTTCTCTTGAAACAGGAAAGGGAAGTCTTTGTCAGATGATTATTGACAGGATACATGGTGGGGTTTTTTTCAAGTGTCAGCTACCATCAGAATGTCATTTTCCATATGCTAAGTACTGGTCTTTTATAACTCAAGACCAAGTATATTCAGAATGAAAGATCAAAAACACATTTGGTTTAAGTCCTGGCATAGTTTTTCAACTACAAATAAAGTTACAGAAAGGAACACAGGAAAAAAACATGTGAATATTGACTATTTGATGTCTAAAATTATCCCTCATGACTAGACTGCACTTTATGCTTACACAAAGAATTAGAGTCAGCTGTTGCCTTTTAAATGTATATGGGCTCAACCGTACATGTGTCAATTTATTCTAAATAATAATTTAATAAATATAATAGCAATATAATTACATATAACAAAATTTGGAATTCCTTATATTCTCAGTACTAAATATATAAACTAAACATTCTTAAGGCCAGAGATAATGGCAGAAGCCTATGAACCCAGAACACAATAATGAAGGCAAGATGATTATTTTGAAACCAGTTTGTGCTACCTTGCAAGACCAAGTCTCAAAGAAAAATGGCTGGGGATATAGCTAAGTTGACAAATGACTTGCCTAGCTTGCATGAGATCCTGGGTCACATTCTCATAGCCACAAAAGTTCTATAATATAGCATTAGTAACCAGAAGTAAATTATGTAGAGCACACTTACATGGGACCTGTAAATTATGTTATTACCTTCCCGCATTCCTAAAGCCTGGAGTTAGAGACAGTTGTGAGCCACTGCGCTGAGAACTGAATCTGGGGCCTCTGAGAGAGTAGCAAGTGAGTGCTCTTAATAGCTAAGCCACCTCTCTGACCACCCAGAGCATACTCAAAAGTTCAAGTTTATGTAAAAGTTTGCCTTAAAAATCTATTTACAAAAGTCCAACTCATACCAATATTGCACACAAGGAAGCAACTCTACTATGTGTGTCACCAAATACTTGCTACCCAACATCATTTACATGCCACATGCCTTACTAATAAATGGCACAGACAATACAAAGTACATGCCAGAGACATCAGACATTTCCTTAAAAAATATTTCTCTAAGCGCTGGTTGAAAAGTTTCTGGTGTTTGCAATTTTTTATTTATCCTTTTTTCAATGCTAAAACAACAATGTGCGGCTCCCTAAAACAAATATCCAAGGTGTTCTTTTGGTGACTTCTCAGATCTCGAGGGCCTGATGGTGGGAGCGATCAAACTAATAATGTTAATGGCAGTAATAATGTTGAAGACAGCATGTTCAAGCTGGTGAGATGGAAAATCTCATTTTTTGAAATGGCCCCTTTCAGATTGTCATTTCTACTTCTTATTCTTCTTTTTTTCATTTTTCCATTGGTAATAATAGGTGGAGAATCACAAATAATTTCAAACTGCATTATACTCCTTGACATGAAGGACCAGGACTGAATCTCAAATTACCAGCTCTCAGCCAAGGTGTCATGACACACTCATTTTTTTTTCCTTACAGCTGGGGAGTACTTCAAGATTGGGCTTAGTGTGCAATGTAATTAGATACTAATAGAAAAAGTACTAAAATGTGATTTTAAAAGACAGTCTATCTGAGGTGCTCCAACAAACTTTAAAAGTTTCATTCGTTCGTTTTGAAATCATGCTCTCCTGGGAGAGGAAAAAATGAAGACATAACTGGTATATTAAAAATTGTAAAGAATACTTGTCTGTTATGTCCACACCATGGTCTCATGGTGACAAACTTTCATGCATCCTCACTTCAAACATTCTTCATCTCAGGAACAAAGAACTCGCACCAAAACCTGTTCAAGACCTAAATGAGGCAACACACTTCTCAATTGCACAGTGGGCACAAAAGTCTTTTGTCAAGCCTACACCCTAAAGATTTGTTTGCAAAATGCAGTCACAATAGAAGCCTGATAAAACTGTGTGTTTTAAATTGTCATATATGAGAAACAAGATCAGAGAGCCATCACATAGACATTTACAGTGTAAATCAGGGACAAGTCAAGAATATGAAAACACAATTAAAGATTCTCCTTCATTATAGCAACATATTTAGGTGACGCTGTCAACATTTCCTCTCCCCAAATCCTTTTCTCTGTGTCCATAGGTGGGGGGGAGTAAAAGCTGAAAAGGGCTTTATATATTCGAGAATATATAAGAATGAAAAGGGAGACATTTGGTTACCCTAGTACTCACAATAGATTGGCAGTCATTCGCAACACTTCCGGAATAGGGAAGTCGCCGTTTTCAGTTCACGGTGGAAAGAGAATGGGGAAAGGAGAGGAAATAAGGAAAATGTCAAATTCACACACACAGCTAAAAATATAAAGTTAAAGTGAGGGAACTGTGGTTGGGAAGGGATGAAGAAGCCTGTGGGCGAGCATCAGGCAAGACTGAAGGACCAGAGTGGGCTGAGCGCTTAACCCTAAGGGGTCTAGGAATGGAAACCTCCAGCCAAAACCTCAGTCAAAGCAGTGCTCCGGGACAACTGGTTCTTCGATAGCACACAGAAAGAGCTGAGCATTCAGAGGAGGCGAGTTCCAGGACAAAGAGTCAAGCTGCCAGTCCCCCGGCAAGGCACTGCCATGGATCCCTAATGAACTCACCTAGCAGAGGGAAATGGGGGCTTCTTCGAGAACTCGGATCTCTTGCATCCATCCCGGCAAGCCCTCATTATTGACTGATGAGCTTGTCTGAATCACCTATTTGCTTTATGATTTGGAAGCAAACACAAGTCATGCCTGAGCTAATTCGAGATTCCAACTTTTTTTCTCTCTCTCATTTTAGTGCTGCTTAGTTAACACCTAAATCCTTTCACAGTACTCGCGACAAAGGCTTACTTTTTCTTCTTTTGTTCCAGTGGTGGTTTTTTTTTCTTCCCCAAGGTGCCTTCACCATCCCCCCCACACACACACACACACTAGAAGTCATTTTCGCTGGAAATTTTCTTCCATTAGTGGAACAGTCTAATTACTGCGTATCAAAGAGAGAGGCACGCACAGCTGTCTGGCTTCACCACTTCCCCACAATGGTGCAAAAACTTCAGCTCAACAGTCCAGTGAAGTGTCAGCTACGAAAGTAATTGGAACTCGGGGTTCTGCCTCCAGTCCTGGTGGAGGGAGCCATTCTTGTCTTTCGTTAGCGCGGAAATAGCCCTAGGGAGGATAGAAGTTCAGAGTTTGTAAAGATTCCTTATAATTTTTTTTAAAGAAGCTGCCATACTCTCTCTCCCTCCTAAGACATTTTTTTTTCAATTACACATTAAATGACTTGGCATTTGAGGTAATGTTATCTAGTGTTAATTCACCTGTTAGGAAATTGCCTCTCTCCAGAATCTGGGGTTAATAGAGTGCAGAGGACCGTTCTTATCAAGGGGGGGGCGATTAATTTACACTACAAATTAAAACATGGAAAATGGAAAGCAAATAGACTGAACACTGACCGTGCTCAGGAAAAGCTATTATGTTTTGTTGGATTTTTTTTCTGTTTTTAATTTGTTATTTTTATCCACGTTAGCAGGCCTCTAATCACTCCGGGCATAACACACAGCATGGATGGAACTATACATGAAAGAACATGCTTCAGGAAGCAAAATTAATTGACATTGTGGGGAATGTAGTCATGGGGTCCATGAAGTTAGAGCTGTGTGGTTTCATCACAGGAGAGTCATTTTTCTGCTTCACATTTGCAAAGGCACATTTGAAAAAGATACCTGTACAATGTTAAGTGGCTTCATTGATAAGAATCAATCCTTTTGGTCATATCTTACCTTTAATAAAAACCCTGGATCTAATCACAATAAATTTTTATTGATCAGAATCCCTTGCAAGGCAATGTAAGTCAGAGGATGGCTTACAACACGTGGACATTCGAGTACTTGTTTATGGCTCTCCAAAGTTGCTGGTGAACTGAAAATAAAACCTGAATGAGAAGTCAGATACACGGGTAGAAGCTCACTGTCATTTCTGTAGCCAGGCCCCTGATCTCTACTCCACCAATCTAGAGCAACTAAAGCCAACAAGTGTCTTGTTCCAAGCACAACTTTAAGCTGGCCATTTGCTCCCCCAACTCTCAATTTCCAGCATCTATAAAGCTGGGTTAGGCATCTTTCCAGAAACCTAACTGATGGGGGAAGTCCTGTGTATATGTCAATAAAGCACTGTTGGCCAAATAGGGAACCAAGATAGGTGGGACCAGGAGTCCAGGAGGACTCTGGGAAGGAGAAACACAGGAGTCGAGATGTAACGCCATGGGGTAGGAAGTCCGGAAGCCTCTCTGGTAAGAGACATACTTAGATTAACAATTATGGGATAAATACTTAAGTCAGAGCTAGCCAGTAAGAAACAAGCAAGGCCAACAGCTTCATAATTAATACAGCATCCTGTGTGTTCATTTGGGACTGATGCGGCTCTGGAACCAGGCTGGCGGGAAGGCTTCTCGCAAGGAAAAAGGTTTCTCTTTACACCTAACATTTCCTGGAGCATCAGACTCAGATAGTCAAGTCAGACTTCTTTTCCTTCATCTGTCCTGGTGGCACTTCCTTCTTCTTCTTCTTCTTCTTCTTCTTCTTCTTCTTCTTCTTCTTCTTCTTCTTCTTCTTCTTCTTCTTCTTCTTCTTCTTCCTCTTCCTCTTCCTCTTCCTCTTCTCCTTCTCCTTCTTCTCCTTCTTCTTCTTCTTTCCTCTTAAGACCCTAGCAAAGGTATCCCAGAACATTAATCTAGCCTAACTAGCAACTGCTTAATGTGTAATTGATCAAGTGTTCAGCACTCACAAGTTTTGTAGCCTTGAGCCTATTGCCTAATTTTTCAAACTCCAGTTTCCTCAATTGTAAAACTGCACCAGTTACTGTCTCAGAGGCTGGATAAGATGTACTCGAGGCACCTATACCAGTAACTCATTAAGTATTAGATACCACATAATTACCCCAGGGCCAAGCAAATACCTTCCACATGATGGAGGTTAAATGCGTGATTGTTGAATAGACTAGATAAAGAAAGACAAATTATCCCAGATTGTTATCACTTTCTAAAGTGCCAGAACAAGCCACCAATCAAGTAGCAATTATTTTATGCATAAAATATCCTTTAAGCATCAACACAGTTTCTAGAGCAGTACAGCAGTTTAGAGCAGCTCACACTTCGCTTTAACATGCATAGATAACACAAATGGAAATTCTGAATGCTTTCACAAACCATCAGATGTAGTCACCAACACTGCTCAAGGAGACACAGGCTCACTCTTGTGAGTACTTTCTCAATAACATGAAGCTAGTTGACACAATTCACTCTTCAAGATACAATTTAAAATTATGGACTAAATGACCCATCACTGAAAATAATGAATGACTATAAAACAAAACCCCAAGAGTATGGCTAAGAAACCCCAATTATCATAAAGTCTTTAAAAATGGAAAACTTGATGTATCCCTGATAAATCTGAAAAGTTGCCGAGTCAGTGGGAGCAGCACAATAAATGTGGAGAAAATGAGAGAGACAGAGAGAGAGAGAGAGAGAGAGAGAGAGAGAGAGAGAGAGAGAGAGAGAGAGAGCTGAATAGAAAAAAGGGTCTTGGGGAAAGTGATCTTCAAGGAAAAAACAAATTAGCAATTGAAAATACCACTACTTTAGAAGAATGCAACTTTACAAACATGAACTTTGGCTTTCTTATCTTTAAAATGAAAGTTGTTCAAGTCTGGTGGTACAATTCTATTACATGAGAGCTAAGGCAGGAGGACATTGTGGTTCGAGGTCTACATGGGCTACAGAGTATATTCAAGGTCTGCCTGGGAAGTCTTGTGAGATGTAGTCTCAAAATAAAAAGCAGAGGGGGCGGGAGAGGGAGGCGGTTATAGCTCAATGTGAGCTTCTTCCTAGCATGAACAAGACCAGTTCAAACCTCACTACCACAAATTAATTAATTAGAAAAGGAGGAGGTTGGGAATATGATTGTCCATTTAGCACTTGCTATGCAAACACGAACAACTGAGTTCAGAATCCCAGTACTCATACACAAAGCCTTGGCTATAAGTCCCTGTGATCCCAGAACAGAGGAGGTAGAAACAGTAGAGTCCCTGGAGTTTTCTGGCCATCTGGTCTAGCTGAGTGGACATACACTATGTTCAGTAAGAAAACCTGTCTCGCTGGAGAACCTGCATGGGACTGACTAGGCCCTCTGAAGGAGGGGAAGGAGGGGAAACTGTGGTTGGTATGGAAAAATGAATTTTACAATTAAAATAAAAATAAATTAATTAAAATAAAATAAAACCTGTCTCACACAACAAGGTGGAGATGGGATTGGGGAATATATCCAATGATGACTCCACATGTGTGTGTGGACACTATAAGCACACCAACACTATATAAACATGTGCAGACATGCAAACCACACACAAAAGTAAACATTAAATATAATATTTACTGAACATCCTCCATCCAAAGATTAGAAGCTTTCTGAGCATCAACATGATGCCACGCATGGGACAATTCTACCCTTGACTTCCGTTGAATAAAAGCACACTACACGTATAAGGCATCACCTGAAGACTACATACAGAAGGTGGGTTCTGTACTTCACATCGATACCATGCCCAAGAAACCCGGTCATATGTGCACAGCTACCCCAAAACTAAAAACAAAACTGAAAGGTCAAACATCCCTACTCCCAAGTTCAGTATACGGCTCTGAAATTCTCTCGTAAGAGTTAGAACAATAAGTATTCTAGGCTCAGAGTGACTGCTTGGTGCAGCTGTAGTGGAGCTGGCTATGGGGCAACAGGCACTACAGTGGCGACAGCAGGAGGACAGCCCTTCAGAGAGTCATGTTTAACCACACGCTAAATAAGAATTGGCAATGTTGTGCTATAAGGAAAACCCCTACACTGCCCAGTAATGTATCGTTTTAAACATGTGCTAGCAAGGGGGAAACACATGTTCACTTTTCAAAAGTTGTATCACTGGCGATCAGTTTCATGAGGACTGAAAAGAAGACTGTGTCACACACCTGCCGGAATGGTGAAAACGAACAAGTCAACAAAACCAGTGCTAGTGAGGTTGGTAAAGGCAAGGGGCTTGTAAAGACCTTTGGAGAGCGGTTTTCAACATCTAGTGAAAGAAGATGGATGCCACAATTGCTTCCCAGGCACGTGTTTCCAGTAGAGACACTGACACCTCTAAGCACGAGGACACACATACAATACTGTGTATAATAGGCAAAACCTTAAATCCCTCCCTAAAGAACGGCTACATGAACGTGTGTTCGCATGGGTTACAGTAGAACACTCAAATGAACAGATGAAAGCTACATGTATCTACTTGAGCAACCCTTAATACAACACTGCTGAAAAGAGAACGTACAGTGCTGGGTTGCAGCGGCGCCAAGGAAACACAAAACCTGGAATCACACATACTAAACTGAGATAACAGTTTGCTCAAGGACAGAATCAGACAGAAGTACACGGATCCTGATAACCGATCTCCTTCAAACAAAGCTGAGGCAAATGTGGCAAGGTGACACATGGGCAGGGTGTCTTAAACCCGCAGTTATGGACGCAGGGAACACCAAGAAACACATCACAGGATAAAACCGGAGCTTAGAGTCACCATCCGTTAAAGACTTGCTTGGGACACCCAGTCGCCAAGCTCCCTTGAAACACAGTGATTCTCCACACCTCTGTGTTTGGCAAATTTACAATGCTGGGACACACCAAGCAACTAGTCTCTCTGACGTAGGAGGAAATCAGAGGCAGGAGCACTACAAGGTGGCCAGCACCAAGATATTATGGTACATTAATGTGGTACTAGCATAAGAGTGGTCATGCATGTCAAAGTAATAGGCCTGGGATTTTAGAAATCAACACTGGTCCTTACAGTTAACTGATTTTTAACCAAGGTGCCAACACATTCTGAGAAGAGCAAGCTTTTCAACAAATGATACTGAGACAGCTTGATATTCTCAGGTGAAGGAATGATGTTGAGTTGATATCTCACCCAAAGAAAAATGTAACTCAAAATAGACCATAGACTATACGTCAGAGCTAGAAATGAATCTCCTGGAGAACAAATTTACTCTCAGAGTAAAATTTTTGTGGTCGTGAACTAGGCAATGTTTTCTTAGACACACCACTAGCATCAGAGACATGAGAGAAATAAAATGAATTTCATCAAAATTTAAAACCTCTGTGTTGTAACAGACGCCATCAAGAAAGGGAAATGGCAACACTTGGAATCAGAGAAAGCATTTTCAAATTGTGTCTCTTGACTCAAAAATGCATAAATGATAGTTAAACTCTACATTTAAAACTATTTTTAACATCAATGAAGTATCTGAGAAGACATTTCTTTATATAAAAATACAGTGTGATTCATATACAAGTAACAAAACCTATACAAGGACACCCAACTTTATTAGCCTCTATGGAAATGAAAAATTAAAGCCACAACTACTATGCCTACAAAGAAAAAAAAAACAAGTTGTGACAGATGGGACAATCTGGAACCTCATATGGGGTCCAGGTACATAAAGTGGTACAGGTATTCAGGAAAGACCAATATGTGATACTCAAAAAGCAAATGAAGTATCCTTTGCTGCATGCTCTAGCCTCCTCCCCACTGCTGCAAGAAACACTCTTTTCACAACAACATAAGAAATCAAAGGTCATTTGCATTACAAGTTACATTCCCTTACTGAGGGGAAATCAAAGCAGGAAGTATGAGCAACTAGTCACATAACACCCACAGCCAAGGGCAGACAGAAAAAAAAATGCAAAGATCCTTGCTTGCTCACTCAATCTCATTGCTCAGCTAGCTTTCCTTACTCTTATACAACCTAAAACTCAACTAATGAAGTGGTACCATAGTCTGGGTCTTCCTACATCAATCAACAATCAAGATAACCCCTAATAGACATTCCCAGGACAGTCAGAGCTGAACAAATTCCTCCACTGAGGCTCTCTTCTCGGATTGTGGCAAATTGAGAATTAAAAAAAGAAAGAAAGAAAGAAAGAAAGAAAGAAAGAAAGAAAGAAAGAAAGAAAGAAAGAAAGAAAAACTCATCACCTGAGGGCTGTGCAGAAGCCTGTAATCTGGGCTACTTCCTGGGACCATGTAGGTATCTGAGGGTCATTCTGCTGAGGGTGCCATGCCAATCTCAGTGGCCTGCTCAGCCACCTGGGGCAGTGGTGACAGACAGGCTGGGTGCCTGCTGAGGACCATATATCTGCATATCTGGATCTGTGGTCCTACAACCTAACATCCACCTTATCTATGACCTGTCGAAGCATGTGAAGAACCTACAAATCCAAAACAGCAGGATCCCCATGACACAGGACAGCAACATCCGATAGAAGCCCCGATAGAAGGCCCAGTGAGAGCCCATTCTTGGTGGTATAGCAGAAATCAGAGGCCTTGAACAAGACCAACGACTCACGGCATTTACTTGCAATGAGCACTTGCAAGTAAAGATGAATGGACCAAAGGGTACTATGTGACTCGATGGGCCACACGACAGCTTCCACAATGAAATTCTTCTCCTTTTTATTTGTTTTGGGTTTGGTTTTTGTTTTAAATTTTGTTTTGTTTGGGGGTGAGTGGGTTGCGAGGGCAGAAGGTGGATGTGGAGGACATGGAGATGAGTGGGACCAGAATGCATGATGTGAAATCCACAAGGAATCAATAAAAGCTAAAGGAATTTAAAAAAAAACAAAAGCAAAAAAAAAAACGAATCATCACATGGAGTGTAAACTGGTAATAGTCATTTGGGAAAACAGATACACAGTTCCCAAAAAGTTAAGTATACATTTACCATATTGCTCAGCAATTCCAGTCATGGGAATACTCCCCAAAGAACTAAAAACACACATGCACACTAAGTTTTATATACCATCGTTCATAGCAGCCTGTTTGTAACAGCCAGAGATCAGGCAACTCAAATGCCAACCAAGTATTGAGTGAATAAACAAAGTTAATATGTTCAGGTGGGGATATCATTTAGCCACCACAAGCAGTTGAATACTGATACAGGTAACGTTAACCAAATTGAAAATATGGCATTTATTACAAGTCTGACATAAAGAATTGTTCTGAATTCCTTTCTCACCTGTGTTGGCTAGTTTTGTCTACTTGACACGAACTAGAGTTGTCTAGGAGGAAGAAACCACAACTCATTAATTCCTCTGTCAGATTGTCCTGTCCCAAAGTCTGTAGGGGGATTTTCTTGTTTGGTGATTGATGTGAGAGAAGTCATCCCATTGTGGGTGGGGCATCCCGGGCTGGTGGTCCTGGGCGCTATAAGGAAGGAGGCCAAGCAAGACAAGCTGAGCAAGCCGCTAAGTGTCACCCCTCTTCAGTGCCTGCTTCTAGTTTCCTACCTGGGGTTCTTACCTTGGCTTCTCTTGATGATATACTGCAACCTAAAAGGCAACCTGTGGAGCGATCATTGTTATTTAGGACCTCCTGTAAACATTGCCAGCCTTTTTAAAGAATAATCCATCCCCTCCCCAGCTTCCTAATGAATAAAACCTGGGCTCACAGGAATAGCTGATAGCAATCTACAGTGAGGTTATTTAACCCTCCTCCATGCAATTAGGTTATTTAGCACCTACCCTACTAACACCTCTTATCTTCATGCCTACTGCTCAGCATGGGAGGGGGTGGTCTGCAACTATCAACACCCCTAAGTACATGACCAAGAACCCTCCTCGGCCATTTACTAGGCAATGACCCCTCCTTTATTGTCCTACATTCCTCTGCCCCATCCCCCTACCTCACTTCCCCTATTTAAGCCTGTACAAAATTCTCATTAATCGCTGCTTGATCAGCCATGTTGTCTGGCTGTCACCTTCTCTTGTCCCGTCATTCCAGGTTCCTGTGGGCTCGAAACCCATTGGCAGCAACCCTTTCCTCCCTAAGTTAATTTTAGTCAGAGTGTTTATCACAGCAACATAAAGCAAACTGGAATACTACCCAAATTTATCTTTGGAAGTTCTACCCCGCAGCATTGTGGCGGGATTAGGAGATGGGGGTCCCTTCAAGGTGATTGGCTCATGCTCGTGAATTCGTGAATGAAATTAGTGCCCTTCAAAAAAAAAAAAGAAGACCTCAAGGCTCTGTCGGTTTTACCCTGTAAAGGCACAGCACCAAGGGTCCCAGCCATCCCCACCTGAGCGGCCAGTCCCTCCACGCAGAGCCAGGATGTCTATCTACCGGGCCCAAGCTGCTGCCGAGAGCCAAGTCTGGATACATGGTTCAGATACAGCTGGGCTCTGTGTGAACGTCTATGGCCTGTGTCACCTCAGGAAGCCCTAGGAAGCTTGCAAGATGAAATCAGAGGACCGTGCCTATCCAGCCACACGATTTGCTGGCCTTGGGAAAGCTGGTCTTGCCTCTTGCTAGACACTGCAGCAAGGAAGCTGGGCCTGCACCCTGGAGAGATGATGGCTCCCACCCCTCACCACAGGCCAGGGTGAACTGACCCTGAGAGCTTTCATGAAGGGGAGCTGACTCCACCTACTTGCCCAACGTGAGTGGCCCCAGGTGCCGGGACTGACCAGCTTGGCTACTACTATCCAGGCCCATAGCCAGGCATGGGTTGACCTACCCTAGCATCTACCCACCCCACCCCATCTCCGACCTGCTGGAGCTGGTGAAGGAACTGGTCCTGTGGAACTGTACCCGCGAGGTCTCCAAGACTCGTGGCAGCTGCAGGGCATTCCAGAGGCGTTCAGGTGGGGATCCGATCCAGTGATGGTGGTATACCAGAAGCCTTGAAGAGGCCTTGAGCCTGACCGGTCACTCATTGCAATTGATACGTGCCAGCAAAACTGACGGGACAAAGAGGTACAGTATATGGCACACCGAAGCCTCCATTGCACCAGGACAAGAGCAGAGGTGTTGGAGAAGCCGGAAAGGAGGAGAAGCAAAGAGATTTTTCTCTTGTGGAGGCTTTTGTTTTGTATTTGGTTTGGGGTTTTGTGTGTGTGTGTGTTTGTTTTGGTTTGGAGTTTGGGTTTTTTTGTTTGTTTATTTTTTTGCTTTTGCTTTTGTTTGTTTGCTTGCTTACTTTGATTTGTTTCTTTATGGGGGAGAATGGCAGGGATGAGAGGAGGATGGGGGCAGGAGGTGAATGTAATTGGGGTGCATGATGGGAAATTTACAAGAGTCAATAAAGAAGTTATTTAAAAAAAAGACACAATACCAAACTTTGCCATCTGGGAGAGAAGAGGCTTGGATACCAAATCAGTTAGTACCTTGATCTTGGGCTTCTCAAATTAGTTTATTTTGTTTATAAGGTACACTGTTTATATTTTGTAACAGCTCATATGAACTAAGTCAGTCCATAGCACATGATTCAAAAAATATTAAAAGCCCACAATAGATAAACCTATGTTTTTTTTTTAAAGTAGGTTTGTGATTTTCAGGGAGCAAGGGAAGGAACAGAGGAGTGATTGCTAATGGACACAAGGTTCGTTTTGAAGTGATGAAAATGCAATAAAATTAAATGCTACAACTATCATTATGTTAAAGGGACCTAAATTAACTGGGTTAGGCCATGGCATTCATACCTCCATTTTGACATTTAAAGGTTTAAGGAAGACAGTGTTAGTACCCATGTTTAGGTTTTGCAAAGAATAACTTAAAAGACATAATTGCTAGGACCAGGAGACTTTTCTTGGAAAACTTTAAGAAAAACACAGGTAGTTGTTTCAGGGAGACTTCAGAGGAGGGTACGTTGCAGCCTGCCTTGATGGCTTTAGACATTTTTCATCAGAAGGCTTGCAATCCAGTGATGTAGCTTTATGACATTTCTCCCAGTTTTATTTAATAATGAACCCAAGAGTTCCATTACTAAATATTGATTTTTCTTCCATTCCCCTCCTAGGCTTTATGTCTAAATACAAAATATATTCTCTTTCTCATGTGATTTGAGGAAAACCCTTCATGTAAATCAAAATGTGGTGATGTTATAGCCTGTCATTATAATGGAAGGAGTGAGATGCTACAAACAACTGGAAACTATTTATGGTCGAGCCTACCTGTCTTACTTGTTAGAAACAACTCCAAAATGCACTCTTCCGTGACTTTTGAGGCAAAAAAAAAAAAACCACTGTGTTTTTTCCTTCTTGAACTGGGGCCACCGTGCCTTGTGCTGCTAAGCCCTGTCCAAGGCTGCTGTGGGTGTGGGGGGATTATGCTCACAGGGTTAGTGGTCATGTATGACAGCACTGCAGGGGATACATGAGAGCTTTTCCATTCTCTTTAGCCCTTCCTCACGCAGCAACGGAGAAAATTATTTTATGTCGGTTTACTTTAAAGGAGAAAAAAGCTTTTCTTGTAAAAATAAAATGAAATGAAATTGTCCGTTGCTCTGTATCACTGTAACTCCATTCTTACCTGAGAAATGGAAGGCCCTGGAGTCCAGTTATTCTTCCTCTCTAATGGCTCTAGGTTGAAGAATGGATAAATTTCCACCATTTCTACCCCAACGGGTGACAGAGGAGTAGAGCTGGGTTCCAAGATTTAATCTCCACAATATGGATATGTAGCTTCTCACAACAGCATGACCCAAACACGTTCTCCCATCTCCCCCCATCTCCCCAGTGTGTTCTTACTAAGGATAACAAGGCTGGTAAGAGAGATGTTAGCAGGTGTTGAGGGACCCAGGAGCTAGAAACAGAGTCCTTATCTTGGGCTAAGCAGTATAGGAGATAAAAGAGCATGCTACTAGTTTCCCAGTATTTCTTAGAAATACAATTTAAATAATGTGTCACATTCTTCTGGATGTTTCATTTTGACAAACAGGATTATTCTTTTGTTCATGTCATACTTTCTGTCTTTGAACCGAGGGTATTGGGAAGGGCTTAACTTCTATCTCCTCTTCTAAATAAAGGAAATACTAATCCACTGAGACAAACTTCCCAAATTCTTGCTATTATTCATGGTTTTCCTTTGTTACCGTTCCATAATTTCAACATCCCAAACAGTACTCTAATATTCTCTGCATCTGCATGGCAAGAAGTAATAAGTACTGATTAGTACATGTTTAGGAACCTTCAGAATTGCCATTGTTCTTGAGTATTGGATGCAGAGTGATCATGTGGATCCGTGATAACACCATTGAAACAACAAATAGATTCCTTAGATGACTGGTGTGTGTTGCTGTGATACAGCCTGTCAATCTTGACTAATGTGAGCCCAAATTTGGGCACTGTATGAATAGGGTGTTCCATTTGAGCAGTGTCAAGAATGACTATTGTTTAGAAGGAAAACAAAAGAAACATTCAGGCTAGGATATGAAAACTGAGTAAAAGGAGAAGTGTATATCCCAGTGCGCGAAAGCAGAGAACAAAGAATGTGTTAAAGCACAGAAGAATTGTTTTGGCATGTGGCATAAAGGTTCAGATCACAACCACTGGAACACGGAATGCCTCGTGCAAGAGTTATTAGTGACGAAAATGCAGAAACCGCTTCCACTGACTCAAGGCAACAAGGGGAGATGCTGAAAACAACATCTGGAGGCACTTCAATACTCAAGATCTCTGAGGCTCAGAAACATTTCTCCAGACCTGGGGAATCTAATGGAGTTACATTCTGCAAGCGTTTATTTATCCTGACTTCCTTGACACGTGTGTTTCATTCCACAGAAAGGTGTTCTCATCTCCTGTTTACCTTTTTTTTCCAGTTCCAGTCATACACTGATCAATTTAAATTCCAGCACTTAATCCCAAAGAAATAGCTTCTGTTCTGGTCAGGTTTCTCCAACCCAATTAGCCACAATCCAGGAAGCTGAATCATGGGGCACACACACACCTAAAGGGAGCACACTGGGTAAATCATGGGTCTCCCAGAATGTAGATTGCAGGGTAGATGTGACAGGCGTCCAGCAGTTGTGTACTTATACATTATAGATGAGTTAGAATATGATTCATGACACAAAAATGGGGAAGGTAAATAGAATCATGCCCATCCCTGTAGAGAAATCATCCTGACAATACTGAGCACAATAGGTCAAAGTCAGCCTAGTTCAGAGACAAATAAGACCAGCAGTAAATGGGTGTCCCAGTGAAAACATCATGGAGAAACTAACTTATGCAGGAAGGAAAACTCAGTTGCATCAATGGACAGTAATGGTTTCTTCCTTTTGTTGTTGCTGTCGTTGTTACTATTTTAAGACTAAAAAGGGGGGGTCTTACTTTTTAATCTAGACTATCCTGGAGCTCAGATTTCCCCTCCTCCTGCTTCCCAAGCTCTGGGATTACAACACACACACAGCCCTAATAGACTATTCAGCTCTATAAAATGGGCATACAACCAATCTTCAATTCAGTAACAGTTATGTGGAATGTGCAAATAGACTATTTTAATGGTGCTGATGGAATCAGTTCCTCACATATTAAGAATAAATACAGGTCAGCTTCATAAAAATC